AGCGTTTAACACCGTCGGCCAGAACATTTTATTACAGCTATTATTAAATGGAGAGTCCTCTTCACACACTGAGGTTAATTATGAAGCTCCACAGGCTTCTGTGCAAAGACCAGTTCTGTTTACATTATACGTGCTTTAGAAGACATAGCATACCACAGGTCAGCTCAGCAACATTTCGACTTTGGCTTGTTTTTTCTGGTTAACGTTAATTACGTAATTTAGAATTAAAGTTTAGTGTTCTTAGCATTTAGGATGGCCGTGGCGAGTAACTCGAGTGCTGTAAACATTTCATGAAACCTCATCAAAAGTTATCTGAGTTGGAAGGGTGGCTGTTAATAAGCCATTCTTAAGGAAGGAGAACAGAGAAAAATAAGGCTGAGGTGTGCCAAATTACACAAGAAATTGACTGGAAAAAGAAATCAGCTGTAATATGTCTTATGGAGTAATGAATCCAAATTTGAAATATGCATGGAAGAGGTCCGAAGAGAGATACAACAGTGAATGTCTATAGCCGTCTTTAACACAGCGTGGATACTCTACCGTGCTTTGAGGTTGGATTTCAGCCAGTGTTGTTGGAGCTCTTATCCAAATTAATCAAATTATGAATGTAGAAAAGTTCCACCAGATTTTGATCGACCATGTATTACCACGTAGTGTCTGATTGGCAGCAACTTCATTTTTCAGTACGACAATGATCGCAAACATACTGCCAATGTAGTCAAAGTATGCCTGGATGAAACAACGCATCAGTCATGGATTGATCTCTCCAGGGTTCGAACCTCAAGATAATCGAAGCAGTGTGGGATCATCTTGACAGAAAACAAAACAAAAGGCAGCCAGCATCCAAAGAAGAGTCTCGGATGTCTTTCAAGAAGCCTGCAGAACTAAGAAATTACAAGAAAGCTTACCTATTAGAGTTTAAGCTGTGTTGAAGAATGAAAGGCAGCTTTAACTGAACAAAAGGGGAAAAAAACCCCACATTGACAGCTAGCTCAAGAGACAAAAAGCATTAGAACTCAAGTCATTACCTTACTTAAGGATAAATAAGTTAATTAATTACATTAATGCATAAGCAGAAAATAACCTACAGTAACTGCTTTGCGACATGGAAGTGCAAAAGACAACTGAAAGGGAGGATAGTTTCTATATATGTGGTTTCTATTAAGGGACAGAGGAACGATAAGAAACGATAAGAAATCAAGGACAAGGAGTGTGGTGTAGATAAGTGAGGAAATCCGATCATTACTACAAATTTAGTTGAAATTTAAATATTTTAACTATGGTGTGTGAGGTGGGCCCCTGGGTGCCTCCTGTGAGGGCTGTCTGTTTTCCACATTCTGCAACGGTAAAATACGACTTAGAGGCGGATATTTGTTTTACTTTATGGGCAACAGTTGTCTGGCCTTGTTCTTGCTGTTGACAAAACTCGCCTCATGGTCGACTCTGAGAAAAAAACTCTTTCCCACAGAGGGGGGGTGCTTTAATAATCTTATTCGAATATGAGCTTTTTTCCACTAAGGCTTATTTTATGGGGAGATGTACGAAATTATTTACTGGGTTACAAGCAATGATAATATCAGCTGTTGACTCCTCATTTTCATTTTCTGTCTATTGAGAAAACCCATTGTAAAAGTAATGAAGAAAAAAAACTCTCTACTTTGGTCTGACAAAGAGCAGGCTGCGCAAAACCTACCTCATATAGATGTTTTAATAATAATAATATTTTTTTGGGGGGGCGCGTTATAAGCATTGAGAAAAAACTGATATCTGCTGTCTCACTCCTCCTTGACCCGCGGTGTGTGAAACAAGATCGCCTGTCACGGCAATTATGGTTTGTTTTTCAGTCCCTTGTAAAAGGGACTCTCAAAAGGAAAAGTAGTATTCACTAAGGGGTATTTATTCATTTTTACACATACGGGGTAGGCAGCCTGTAGGTTACAAGCGGATAGAAAGTTCTTCTTTTCATCACAAGCTATGGTGTAGCCTAAAAATGCAATTTGTTGCTAGGCTGATCATCTTAAAGGTTTTTTTTTTTCACTGAGTCTGTATTATAGGAAAATAAAATACTATTGAAAGAAACGGTTCTCTACAGGCAATAGGAAGTCACTCTTTTTTCCCATTACAAGCGCCGGTGCAGCTTGTGAAAGTAAAATTACATCGGCTATTGTAAAAAAAATAAAATTAAATAAATAAATACAGAGAAAATTGTCATAATATCGAAACAGAATTCAAACTATGAGTTTGCGGAAAACTAACCGCCGCTCTGTCTCTCTATACAGCACAAAATCAACTGCTGCATCACCGCTGTGCTTCAGGAACCCTCTCTGATCTCCCCCCAGCAACCATACCCCTCCCCTCATGCTTAGGGAACATGATGCATCAGGTCTGAAAATGACTAGACACTTCCGGAGTATTTCCGGTAGGGTCATAAGGTCCGGATCGAGGCCTTCCATAGTAAATATGCTGTATTTGAATATGTCATATTCAAAGCCTTCTTTAGGGGGGAGCAGATTTCTTCGCCATCCAAGTACACAGGGGCGCTGCTGGGCTGCAGAATGAAAGGATCCATCTTGTGTCTGTGCCTTAGAAATTGTGACGGACTCCTCCTCTCTGCTTTTATTCTCCTCCCATGCCGCAGACCCTCCCTCCCTCTAAAAACTTTTTTCTTTTTTTTCCCAACAACAGGTGCCGCGCTTCCGGGGGTTTGCCCCTCCCTTCTCCGGATGCAATTCGTCACGCTTAGGGGATCAAATTACACACTTCCGGGGGGGAGGGGGGAGGTCAAAAGGTCATGATTAGGGCCATCAATCAAATCGGATCAAATTTTGTCATAAACCGTATGGGAGTATCTCTCTTGTGACGTCCAACAGTTGGGAATTGTAGCCTCAAAGGAGAGAGCCATGAGAGGAATGGACTGCAGGACAGAAGCCTTCAAACGGGACTGAAGTAATAATGAGAACTTGGAGAAAGAGTCTGCATACTGGAAGCGCATCATTTGTTCAGTAAAGTGTAGCACAGCTGTTTGCTTTGGAGCCAGTCTGATGCCCAGAATTACAGTTTTCCTGTTTGGGGTGAAGACTCTCCAAATATGGACTGCTGTTTTTTAAAATTCCCAGTCTGTAAACACTCGCTGACAAATAACAAGAAATGAAAATTGAGAAAATAATGTGTATATTTAATTTAAAAAAGAAAGAAATAATAGATCAAAGAGGGAAAAATAAATACAGTCGTACTGGTTACTGTGGTCGTTTTAAACTGTGTGGTCGTCCTCAACCTGCACACACACACACACACACACACACACACACACACACACACACACACATGAAGCCTACAACATGTGATGTACATCCTGTCCAGGTGAAATGAATTTATAAAATATACCATTCAATGCACAAACATATTACACATTTTAAGCAGCAGCCAAAGAATATTTCTGTGCATTTATTTTAAATATCTGTTGCACGTTTTAAAAACTTATTTATTTACTTACTGATTTATTTATTTAGAACTTATTTATAATAATAATAATGCATTTTATTTGAGGGCGCCTTTCAGAAACCCAAGGTCACCTTACAAAAACCAAAAATTTATAAAAGGAACAGTAGTCATAAAATACATAAAATAAGTTAAAATTACAAAACAGAGCTTGACAACAGATAAAATCAGCATTAAAGCGAATAAGCCAGTTTAAACAGATGTGTTTTGAGCTGTGACTTAAATACGGAGAGGGAGTCAACAGGAGGAAGGAGGAGGAAGAGAGCTCCAGAGCCGAGGAGCAGAGCGACTGAAAGCTCTGTTCCCCAGAGTACTAAGGTGTGAGGATGGAGCAGTAAGATGAATAGCAGATGATGATCTGAGAAGGTGATATGGAGCAGGTCACACAAATATGAAGGAGCAGATTTATGGATACACCTGTATGTAAGAAGTAAGATTTTAACATTTATTCTGGCCTCTATGGGCAACCAGTGAAGCTGCTGAAGAACTGGGGTAATATGAGCTCTTAACGGAGTGCGAGTTGTGACCCGAGCTGCAGAATTTTTGTATTTGCTTTGCATCTTTCTCTCACAATATTCTCCCAGCTTATTTTAATGCATTGCTGCTTATTGATGTGTATTCACTGATTCACACTGACAGTGCTGAGGCAGCACAGCTGAAAATAAAATAATAAAGTAAAATTAATTCAAAAGCAAAAATAGGAGAATCAATATCAAGGTACATAACTACAGAATTAAATACTACAAATATCTATTTATGGCGTATTTGAGCATTAATTCAATGACTACATTTTTTTAGAATATTTATGGCATTAAAATTCATTTGTTTATATTTGATTTACTTTTGTTTGTCCAATATATGCCAACTTGAAGTGTCAGCTTTCAGACACACTGCAGTGTAGTACTGTAATAGTGCCATACAGCAATAGTAATGTATTAAATATAAAACTTTCTGAGTTTTATTTAAATAAACACGTTTCTGTCCACGTCCAGTTTTTCCTCGAACGGTTGCCTCGGCTCTTGCTCATGTCCCACCCTGCGGAGGCAGAGCCAGCGTGGGATGGAGCGTTGCCGCGACAATCGAGTTCAGTGGGTTACATCGCCAAAGCGGACGAGTACTACACCGTCAAGTCTCGCAGCGAGCTGATGTTTGAGAAACAATCGGAGAGACACGGCTTCACCACTCGAGTCACCCATGCAGCATGTACGCACCGTCACCTGAGTGTGTTTATAAGATGCTGCGTTATTGTGACAGGAAATCAGAATCAGATGTAGTGATGTGGCCTTCGTCACCAGGCTTTAGCACATCAGTATTACACGTAGTTTTGCATCTTTGTGTTGGAGTCTGATGCTGCTGGGGCCAGCTGTTTGGTCGTATACGTGATCAGTGGACTCTGCAGTAAAACCTGCAGAGAGGATGTTTAAATCGAGGCGTGTGTTTGTGTGTGTGTAGTGGTGAAATCCCAGGATGATGGAGGTGTGACGGATCAGCTGTACTCTGAAATGAAGCCAGCTGTGGACGGAGCGAACTACATCATCAAACACATGCGCAACAAGAATGAATACGAGGTGAGCGCGAACAACCAGAACGTGCCGATGCTCTGCTTGATTCAAGATGCTTTGAATTGTGTAAAAAATGTTAGCACGTTTTCATTCAAGTTTGCATTTTGTTTCAGTATTTCCCACATGCACATGTTTCAAATCAACAAACAAATTCTAATATTTGTCAAAGTTAATCCAAGAAAATACAAAACACAGTTTTCAAATGATGGTTTCATTGATAAAGAGAAAAAGCTACCCAAACCGACCTGGCCCTGTGTGAAAGTCATCGCCCCTTAAGCCTCAAAACTGGTTGTGCCAACCTTGGGGGGGAAGGTTCATGCATCAATAATAAATAAAAACAAATGTTACACATCACTGGGGAGGAATTTTGGCCCCACTCCTTTTCGCAGAATTGTGTGAATTCTGTCACATTGGAGGGTTTTTCAGCATAAACAGCATCTCCATTGGACTTTAGTCTGGACTCCAAAGCCAGTCCAAAACTTTCATTCTGTTTTTTGAGAAATTCTCAGGTGGGCTCATCATCCAGCTGTATAACCCAAGTGATCTTGAGCTTCAGTGTATGAACTGATGGTCGGACATTCTCCTTCAGGATTTTCTGGTACAGATCAGAATTCATGGTTCATTTACATCAAGTCGTCCAGGACCTGAAGCAGCAACGCAGCCCCAACCCATCACACTACCTCCATGTTTGATTGAAAAGTTGTATTCGTTTTAAACCTGATGTAACTGGACTTAAACCTGTTACATCTGGTCAGTCTGGGGATCATCCAGATGTTTTGTTGGTCAGCAGTCACTTTCTTATTGTTGAATCGTGAACTCTGACCTTAAGTGATGCCTGCAGTTCTTTTGTGACATCCTAGATGAGTCCTTGATGTGCTCTTGGAGTAATTTCAGTAGTCTGGCCACTGCTGGGAAGATTCATGTCTCTTCCAACTCTTCCACTGTGGTTCACTGGAGTCCCCAAACCAGCAGTTTTTAACACTGCTGTGTTGACTTCATTATTCTTAGATCTGGGGCCAGACTGTAACAACATCTGATGAGAGGACTAGAAGCTTTATTTTATTTTTTTTTTAAAAAGGTGCGTAAAATCAGAGGTTCAGAAACAAAATACAGAGCTCAAGAAAATAGAGGTTACTGTGGAAAATCTGTTTACAGTGACATGCTAAGCCCTGTGGGTGTGTATCGTGTGTTTCAGGCTTTGCAGCGTCAGCAGAGAGTGAGCGGGACGTCGGCTGGGGTTGAGTGTGTGTTTTCCTGAAGAGACTCGGGAAGAAAGCCGACAGCAAGAGCCTCAGTTTGGCTCACTGTGATCTGACGGCTACAGAGCTGCTGGAGCTTGGTACAAAAACGCACATACCTGTCACACAAGACAGACATGGTATCTGTCAGATAACTGCATTAAAAATACTCCCAAAGGCACAAACACAACGGAGCCCAGCAGACAGTTAGTTGATGCAGCTTCATTTCAAGAGGCGGAGCATCTAAAATTAAGTCTGAATAAAGTAATGTGACTTCGTTGTAAGACGTCAGCTGGCAGAAAGGCAGACAGATGTTTTTCTTGCCGTTTCTTCTCAGCAACGTTGCTGCAGTTCCTCCCCCAGGTGGAAGAGATGGAAATCTCCTGGAATGAGTTGATGGGTGGATTGGTTCATCCACTGCGCATAAGCCCTCAGTTTTACAGCTTTGATCATTCATTTTGATTTACTGGCTCACAGAGAAATTTCAAACTAACTCACAGAAAAAAATTCTGTCTTGAGAGGATAGCTTTAGCTAATTTATCTGAACTCTGTTTACTTTATGAGGCAACGATGACCATATAAGGAATATCCTCTCTCTGTGAGATGATAAAGGCTCAAGGGTAAAAAGACTGAATCTGAGTGTCTAAAGCGGGCTGAAGATTAGTTTGCCTACACCGACCTCATTATTAGTTAGATGTATAGTATAGTTATATTATAGAAGAGAACATAAGGAGCAGCAGTTTGGATCCATTTTAACAGGGCTGTCAGTTGGTGTTTTATTATGTTCTTATCTGTTTTTTTGCTGTCTCTTCGTTGATACATGTGTATGGAAGAGGTTTTTCTGTTCATAAATCTCTCAGGGGGAATGGTGGCTACACTGCCCAGACTCTGTGTGCTGGACGTCTCTTGTAATGCTCAGCTCACACAGGAAGTGGACACTGGTGGCTTCAGGGAATTGGTCAGCTCTCTCTCTCACGCCACCTCCCTCACCACGCTTCGACTGCAGGCCTGCGGTCTAACGCCTGACAGCCTTGATGCTCTCGGTACAAAGATCTCTGGATTTTTCCTTTTTATTGCTACTTTTGTTTTATGTCCTATAAGAGTCTCGGAGGGGTAAATTAAAAAACACCCACACCTCTGGTTGTCCTGCAGGTGGTTCACTCCGTTGCCTCCCCTCTGTGGGAGAGCTGCACCTGTCCTGTAACAAACTTCTAGCTGGTGGACTGAGCCGCCTCACCTTTCACCTGGCTCACGTCACACACCTGGAGAGACTCGACCTCCACCTGTGTTGCCTCACGCGAGATGATCTAGAGGCTCTGAGTCAGTTGCTACCAATCTCACACGCCGGACACTAATCGCATGCTCGCTGCAGCAGTCATGTGACTCGTTGTTTTTCAGTCCAGGTGCTGCCCTCTCTCACTGCACTGACCGAGCTTGATGTGTCATCCAATAAGGAAGTGGGAGGTGTGGTCCACCTGCTGGTCTCCGCCCTCCCTGTGACACAAATGAGGCGGCTGCCATTCAACAGCTGCTACATGAGCAACAAGTCCTTCACTGCTCTGGGTAACACACACACACACACACACACACACACACACACACACACACACTTGTTTATTTATAGAAGTTTTCCTTCAAGTCATTCTCCCCGAATACCTCTTCCACCCTCTAGCCTGAAATGGTGAAAACTTTGTGTTTATGCATCAGCCCTGGCGGTGTCCTATCTGCGCACGGTGGATATTTCCTGGTGTAAAGTGGTTGGCGGTCACTTGGCGCTCCTGCTGGATGCTCTGCAGCCATCAGTCGTCAGCGAGCTCCGTCTTTGCAGCTGCGAGCTCACCACTGATGACATGCAACATCTGGGTAACTAACACACAATGACATTATACTTTTTCTTTTTTGGTCTGTAGTGGATCATTAGGCTGCATAAATGTATATTAAGACAAGTAAAGCCTGAAGGAAATTGATATTTCTTTCATTTATTTCATGCTGCCAGCATCTGTAGCTGTCGTATAAAACAAAACAATGAAACTATTCGGTGTTATTTTTGTCTCCATCAGAAACATTGTGAACAAAACAGTAAAGTGAACAGGCATAAAGTGATCAGTTATCAATGGGTCCTCTTCCTCTGTGCAGCTGCCGTGTGCAGACGGGGCTGTCTCTCCTCACTCCGTGCACTGGATCTGTCCTACAACAGCTTGGTGGGAGACAACGGTTGGTGCAGTCTGTTTGCAGCAGGAGGTCTGGGCTCTCTGGAAGACGTGGATGTCAGTTTGCGACCTTCAACCTCTGCTCCGTGCTCAGCCTGGCTGCCCGCTCTGCTCCGAGCTCTGCCTCAAATGCCGGCGCTGGCTCGACTGGCCATGCAGAGGTGGACAGCTGACTGTCAGGAGAGAGAGCAGCTGAGGTACTGTCTGAAGAAGAGGAGCGTCCTGCTGGAATGGGATCCAGATTTACAAGACACATCATCAGCATGTAAAGGGAACAGTCAGGAGAGCCTAGAAGAGAGTCAGCCTGAGGAGTAGGGAGCAGAAAGCCTGAGTTATCTGATCTCAAATTACAAATCATCACAGAGAGATTTCAAAAGAGCACTAGGGAAGAAAAGCGCAATCAGGTCTTCAGTTTATGAAGGACAGTGGAATTAATTTGCTTTTTAATCTCATGAACTTTATCATTCTGCACTTGGACTTGTCGGGACCTGAGGTTGTTGTTGCGTGTGGGGTTGCAGCTGAAAAGCAACCGAGTATTGTACGAACGAGCAACCGGATAAAGAACTGTTAGAAAGAGCGAACTATGTGGTCGTGTAGGGGATTCGCTTGTCACAGTCTGAGACTTTCCACACTCGCTACAGCTGAGTGGTCTAACTCCAGCATGGATGAGCTGATGTGTTTTTAAGTGACTAATTTGATTAAAAGACTTCCCACACTGATCACAGCTAAAGGGTCTGTCCCCACTGTAACTTTGTTGTCGTCTTTTTGGCTGCTTCATGGTGGTAATTTTCTTTCCACAGGGATAAACTGTGTGGTTTCTCTGTTTACGGGGGCTGAGTGACTTCTGTTGGTGTCATCAGAGCACCGAGGTATCAGCTGGGTTACACCCCTTTGCTCCTGTAGTGACAAAAGCCGTGAGTTACGGAACAAGAGGAACCTAAGATTAATTTATTATAACATGGGAACATGCATGCAATATAGTATAAAGACTAAAAACCAAGCTTATACAATTTTAAAAAGCTTGAAAGTCAGTATTTGGTATGACTGCTTTTAATATGCTTCTGCTTAAAAGACTAGCACTACCACTTAAAATACATTCTGTGTTAGGAAAAGGTTTTGGTTTTAACATTACAATGTAAGATTTGATATACATGCATCTGTAGTTACATGCACCTCTAGTTACATGCACCTCTAGTTACATGTTACTCTAGTTACATGCATCTGTAGTTACATGCACGTCTAGTGGAAGGAACAGTTTAAATACACTTTCAAAGATGCTTTTTTTAAAATCCTTTTTAAAGAACGGATTTTATTCATGGCTCATTGAAATGTTTTTCTGCTTCTTTGTCAGACTCATCTCTGACTGCCAATCACCTGTGACACCAAACACACCTTTATTTTTCCATTATTACTGATAATAACCAATATAAATAAGCGATTCGTGTTGATTCAATGTTTTTTTGTCTGATATGTCATTTAACTGCACCGTACATTGGTCAAGTATGTTTAATAATAAACATACAACATACAATAAACAAAGAGGGATCAAATTTAAACCTCACTGACTAGGAAGCACACAGTGTTTGTCATTTTATATGAACTTTACTCTGAAATAATTTTAGCATTTTTTTCAAGTCCCCAGTGTTTCCTGATCCTTGGAGCACTCCTGGTTATCTGCTATGGTGGAGGTGGCCAATGTCTGGAGACAAATCGTTGTTCTGGGGAGCTGCTTTCCTCCAGTTACTTTACATCAGAATAGAAAGCATGAGAACGACCCTGATGAAAAACAGAAACAGCATCCAGGAAGTGAAATAAAGATTAAGCTGGGGGCGACCGTGGCTCAGGGGGTTGGAAATCGCTTCTGCTAACCGGAAGGTCGCCAGTTCGATCCCTGGGCTCTCTGTCCTGGTCGTTGTGTCCTTGGGCAAGACACTTTACCCTACTTGCCTACTGGTGTTGGCCAGAGGGGCCGGATGGCGCGATATGGCAGCCTCGCCTCTGTCAGTCTGCCCCAGGGCAGCTGTGGCTACAACTGTAGCTGCCTCCACCAGTGTGTGAGAGTGAATGAATAGTGGTATTGTAAAGCGCTTTGGGTGCCTTGAAAAGCGCTATATAAATCCAATCCATTATTATTATTATTATTATTATTAAGCAGCCAAATTCTAGCTCTGGGGCCTGTTCTTCGTACCTCGCTAAGTAAGTTAGCTGGATTAGATTGTTGGCGATTTCGGGAGCAGGTTTACTTTATGTAAACAGGATTAGATCGCGGCCACGCAGGTATGTCCGCTTCATGTATACGAAAGCAACAGCGATATTCCACCACTGTTTCAGCATAAATAAATAACACCAATGTAACTAAAGATAATGCAGCACTTGATCCATTTATTGATTTCACACAGATACATACAGGTCATTTCCTAAAAAAGGGAAATGTACCATTAATCATTCTATTACATGTATGTGATTATTACAGATGTAATTCATATTTCAGAGTAGTAATTGTAAATTACTTCGTGTAATCAAGATGGGAGACCACGGCTATAAAAGCGAAGGTGGATTTGGGAAGTCTGTCGCAGCCATGTCCTGTCCGTTTACGCGAGCAGCCCATTGCGGAAGGTGCAAGATTGATAAGGAGAGTCCTCAGAATCCAGCGTATATTGCGGGATAGACAGGATCCTTTAGCTCAGCGCGACAGTGTGCTCATAGAGAGATATCGATTTTCCCGTGAGGGTATTATTCACCTAACCAACTTGTTGACGAGGGGGTGCAGGACCACCACCTGTCTTTTTGTGCTCTGCCCTTTTCTTGGTTGCTGTTATGAACAAACAAACAGATTATTTCAGGGTCTCTTTCCAAGAGACGAAAAGCAATATACGTGATAAATATTACCATTCTGTAGAATATTCTTATATTTCACTTTTACTTGTTCCCATGTTCTAGTGGGTCCTGTTGTGGCTCTAATGTGAAAGGGGATATAATATAACATAATATAATATAATGTAATATAATATTGGATAATATAGTGTAATATAATAAATTTACCCTACCGCCTACTGGTGTTGGCCAGAGGGGCCGATGGCGCGATATGGCAGCCTGGCTTCTGTCAGTCTGCCCCAGGGCAGCTGTGGCTACAACCGTAGCTTGCCTCCACCAGTGTGTGAATGTGAGAGTGACTGAATAGTGGCATTGTAAAACGCTTTGGGTGCCTTGAAAAGCGCTATATAAATCCAATCCATTATTATTGTTATTATTAAATTACTTACGAGTTTAATTTGTCAGCAACTTTCTGCCAGCCCTCTCTCCTTGCTTTTGCAGCCTTTGCAGTGTTCCCTTGCGTTCTGATTAAACTCTGAAACTCCTGAAATCCCTCACTCAAGAGTTCTTGCTCTGCTGCCGAAAAATACCGAGCGCGCTCCTTCGACATTTTCGCTGACCAATCAGAGGGTTGCCGATCAATGTTTCTACTATCGATGCATAGCCCCTTTAACGACACCCAGTGATCTCACATTACTTCATCCAGCTGTACTGATCGTCAACAGCAGGTGTGTTCGGGGAACCGGATTAGCGAGCTCACAGTTAGCGCGATGGTTTGGTCTTGGATGTGTCATTTGATCTTGGATGTAGTAAGTGACATACGAAGAATGGGCCCCTGGTTTGATGCTTACATTTGGGGGACTCTCGACCACAAACTAAGAGAAACTCTGTCAAGATGCAGAAACACATCAAGTTTTGCAAACAAGCATACTATTTTTATAGTTAACTAAACTTATAGTTTATTAGAGTTGAGTTCCTACTCACAGACAACTGAAACATATTCACATTTGGAAAGCTGATTGTATAAATTTTCATTTGATTAATCTGAAATTGTTCTTCTGTGTCTGAAAACACCCACTCCCACTTACTCAACCAGTGTTGTCGTCTGCTGCTGTGGCAGAAGACAACACTGCAACTGTAACTAAACTGATTACAGCATTATTTTTAAAACCTTCAGTGAATTCAACGTTCTTCAACATTTTGTGTATGCTACTGTTGTACATACAGCCGATGTTTTACCTGATGGGTACAATGTTGCTGTTGAGGGGTTGCTGTGGATAGTGGTGGAGGGCAGGGCTGTGTTGATCTGAGACTTGCATTTCCACAACACTCTGTCCATAGTCACATACTGTGTATGCTACTGTTGTTTATAGTGTATTATCTTATTTATTTTGTAGTTGTTTATATTTTATTTCTATTTTTGGATTTTCTTCTGCTATCTCTACCTGAGCTGAGGTAACGCACAAATTTTCCTGCCGTCGATCAGTAAAGTCTAATCTCCTCATTGACTGCATTTCTGATGGAGATGAGACGTCATGCAGGACAGAGGTGAGAGGCGTGACATCACGGTGCCGTGACAACAACCTGGTGCTTAACATCAGCAAAACCAAGGAGCTCATCGTGGGTTACAGGAGAGCAGCAGTAGCAGAGGTGGACAGAGTCAGCTGCTTCAGATTCCTAGGCATCAACATCAGCGAGGGTGTCTGTTAAGTCTAATTGTTGAATGTTGCCATTGTGTTTCTTAAATTTGTATAGTCTTAGTTTAAGCAGTAGGATCAAAGCTATCCCTTTGATCCTGATCACCTCTCCAGCCACTCTGTGCTGGGGGAGGTTTTATTGTAGATACATCCTATCTGAAAGATCTGTTTCTTTTGATGTAAGCTTCCTGGGTTTATGACCCTTTGGTCAGCAGGTCACACACACACACACACACACACACACACACACACACACACACACACACACACACACACTCTTACAGAAGTTCACACATATACATTTACATACAGTGCCTTGTCTTTGTAACCAAAGGGGGTTGCAAGGGGAGGTGTTTTGTAAACTATTGTTTGAAGTTTGTCAATAAAAGGCAGCGAGAGGAGGCCATCATCGGGGTCATTGTCGTGCTGGACACAGACGAGGCCTCCCTTGCGCAAGTAATGGATCGATCGACTGTCTTGTTTTCTTCATGATGAATAAGTCTCTAGAATTAGCGGGGTTTGTGGAAACACAGACCCAACAGTGTCGTGCCATATTAAACCATTATACACCTCAATAGTAAAATAAAAAATGTGTGTAAATTGCATGAATTAATATTTATTAACGTCTCTTTGTGACGTTATACTATGATAATGACTGCCACAAACAGCGTCCTCCTGTAACCATGGTTACGGGAGTTTGTTGCAAGAAGTGTTGTGAATCTCGCTGAGACAGGGAACCACTGAGAGCCTCAGATGAACCAATCAGTCAGATCGCTGTCTCCACTTCTCCTCCTTCTTCGTCCCCTTTGTTTTTTAAGTACCTCATATTGTTAGGATTCTTTAGCTAGTTAGCCATCACATTAGCTA